ACGCAATATATTTGACTTATAGTAAAGGAAAAAGGACCAAGAAACTGCAAGATACGACAACTACATGACATTGTATAATGTCTTGGTCCTCTTTTATTTACTATACATTTATCCTTGCCTCTCCATCCGAGTCCATTATATTTGACTACTTTTATTTGACTTCTTGGGCCATCCGTGAATATCGAACTTTTTCAATGAATTATTTTAGTTTGGACCCAACCCCTCCCTCCCCCTCAGAACGGAAACAAATATTCACTTGATACATGCAAAAGTCGCAAGTGTGTCACTGCTCCTATGGCCGTGTACATGTATCAATGTTTTCTGAAACGAAATTTGTCAACTTCCTCCCACCCCATAACGAAATTATTTCGTTTTGTGGACGACCCCCTCGATAGAACCTCGTAGGTCAAGCAGACAGCATTTGTATAGAATATGAGAGCGCCGTTTAACATTTTTTATTGTCAGCATTTAATTGTGTTTTTTATTCCCAATCCAACTCGTGCACTTCCACCGAAACTGGGTGACTGCGCCCTACTAGATGGAGATTGGTATGCAAAATCTCACTAAAATCTCACTAAAAGCGCCATGTTGTCTTATAACAGCATGGATGACCGCGATTGGCCCATATGTTGTAGTCTTTTGGACACTGACTGGATGCCGTATCCTCGGACCAAGACCATTCGACTCAGCACCCCGAAGACTACAACTGGTGGCAATTTGATTTTAGGCTCAACTTCCCCTCTAACTCCAGACGCGACTTTCTCTAATAGGGCTTGAAAGTGATGACGTCAAAACGGCCAGGGAGTAGTAAGTTGACATCAGATTTCTATTTTGGATCCACTAAGGTGTGACTTTGCCATTGCCTAAGTATGTGGGTGCATAGCAACCCACTCATGTCGCACACAGGTGTGACTTTTATTTCGCCACCATTTGTCACCCCGGCCCCATTAGCCAAATCAGTCAGTTCCACTGGCTACATCACCTTGCTGTGAGTAAGATGGCTTGAAATGTGCTTGGATCCATATAAAAACTGGATCCAGGTGGATCCAGTTTTTGAATTTTTGAAATTGTTGCTATGCTGTGACGTAGCACTTTCAAGCCCTATTATCTCCATTCAGGTTGAGACTTTCTCTGTAGGACTCAGATTGCCGACTTCTCCATACAAAAACTGAGTTGGAGTCATACAGAGAAAGTCTCAACCTGAGTGAAGATATCTAGGGAAAGTTTTGTCTGGAGTTATGACCTGGAGTTATATAGAGAAAGTCGCAATGAAGCCATTATAGGCACGAAGTAAACAGGTGATAACATACATTCAAACCTGTCTAAGATGACCGCTCAAGGGACCTTCAAAGTGCGGTCTCTGTTACCAGGTGGTCTCCTTACCCAGGGTCATTTGACTGGAAATAGCAACCCTTGGTCCTGGCTGCAGTGGTCGTCTGGGACAGGTGGTCGCCTTATCCGAGTGGTCGCTTTGACAGATTTTACTGTATAGAGACAGGGATGACAAACAGAGAAATGATGCCATACTGAGTGTAACATATTATACCACCCCAATAACACACATTGTACGCAGTACAACTCGTATTCGAAACACGTGATGTGAGTTTTAGACACGGATGCAGAGGTGCACACTCTTGAGAGCTTAGACAGTATTGTGTCATGATCTCAAGTCATTTTTAGGAAACTGGTTCTTAGCGCCTTACCTGTAATATCTGTACTGACTTGCTGAGACAGACAAGGTGACGTCTTCCTTCACACGTCTCCGTTTTGCCACAGTTCCCGTCGTCGGGTGTTGCATTAGTCGCTGCTCGGAAAACTCTTCCGTCATTCTTCCGCAAAGTACATTGGATGCGGTTCCGGCCGCACACGCATCTTCTTGAGCTAACACCGACTACTGGTGCTGCCTCAGGTAGCGCTACTGTCCGCTGCCCGCTGATTGAGGCTGCCAATTACTAGCAGCCCTCGACACCCCTCCGGCTCGATCGAGTGTTCACCTGTCGTTGACTGCGCTCCACTGCGGAACAGCAATACGGTATTCACTGCGGGATAGCAATATTTCCCCGCCCGCTTGACTTACTATTGAAAGAAACGAGGAAAAGGACAAAACATAGGGGATGTAGGGACGACGTGTCGATGTGCTGGGAGCACACCACGCACTCCATCGTCTTCGGTGCTTTTTGAGCTGAGTAGCGACCTGGTCCCGGAAAGCAGACGTCGACCATTCCGCAAACATCATAGTCCCTTCAGAGCCGAGTGCTTTTTTGATAGTGACAGAGCCTTCAGTGACCACATTTCCAGTGAGGCTCTCTGGAGGTCGGCGACGCGAGCCGCGCGGAGAAGAAGTTCGCTAGAGCGTATTGCGGCCAGGGTCCATTGGTTGGGTGGTACCGGTATTTTTACTTCCCCAGAATGAAGCGGCATTGTTGGCCTGTATTGCGTCGACAACTCGTCTCCCGTGACTGCCGCTAGTGTTCATAGCTTTCTCGTAAGCCGCTCCTTCAACACGAGGTGGCAAAACAATTGCCTGGCGAGCAGTAAATCTATCTCGTCCGGTCGTCCAGCCGTGCACGCTCTGCACAGTAAGCCGTATCCCGTTGCCGGCGTTTGGTCCGCTCTCTCGCAGGTGTGTTGTTTCAGATGTATTTCGGTAGCGTAGCGTCTACAGTGGTCTAAGTCGCGGTGAAAATGCCAGCACACCACATAGACTCCCACCAAGCAACATGCTGGATAGCACGGCAAGGTGTCTTGTAGCCAATGAAGGCTGCAGCAATTCACGTTTGAGTCAAGAGTGGAAAAGAACGCATTATGATCAAGGGTGAACCCTATATCAAAAGCTAGAGCGCAAAAATAGCAAATGAGCGACGGTGGGGGCGCATGCGAGTAACTGTTGTTTGCACGACTGGCAAGGTGTGAAGACTCAATGGCTGTCACCCTGGCGCGGCCCCGCGCCTCGTCACAAACGACGCTGCTGAAGCCTGGTTCACACTAAGCCGATTTTCCGGCCGGCGCTCCCACACCGACTCCGACAAGAAATCGACCGACTGTGTCGGAAGAGTCGGACTAGCTGTTCACACAGATCGTACAGAATGGTTGGCAATTTCGCTTGCACATAGTTGTAGGCCTGTCTGTTACGCACGTACACGCGGTACACAGCCGCACTAGATCTAGAGTAGATGCTAGACAGCGGAAATGAGATAGTTTTTACACGAGCTACACTGGGCCAAAGGCGTGAAAAGGCTTGCGTCTAGTAGCGATCCAGCGCACCCAGCTCACGGTCTGCACCGATGCTGTCTGCTGTAATGGTGAAAAGCCTACAGTGATTGGTCCGATGACCGCTCCATCACGTGCA